TGTTTTCTTCGCGGTACGGTCTGGATTCGTAAATATTATGAAGACGAGCTTCGGCTTCAAAGGGTTAACCAGCTGATTTTCGTAATGGTGAGGTGTAGTGTTTTCTTCGCGGTACGGACTGAATTCATAAATAATATTCAGACGATCTTCGGCTTCGAAGGGTTAATCATACGTGTCAAGGTTCAATAATTCAGTTTGTTCAGGCAAGTTTCCATGCAAGTGTTGCGTGTACATCAGCATATGTGGAAATAACCAAAATATCCACTTTGAGCTGAATCACCAGCACGCAAATAGCCGAGATCCGGTCCGGACCAAACTCGACACTCCGCGGATCCGCTGAGACTGACTTCGTCTCGGCGATGATTAGATGCGACGACGACGACGACGACGACTAATTCAGTCGCCGGACAAAGTCCTCTGTCATCGGCGTCTGGATCGACCTATTATTAGATCGGTCTCAAGGTTACCGCAAACTAATATAGCCTAAATTAACTATATTTTATCTGTGAATTGCACAGAGCATGACGTAAACGGTGTCGGACGACGCCAAATCGGCCTCAGCTGTCACTTCAGTAATAGCGTCTGACTTTAGTCAAATTTACAAGGCGGTTTGACCATTCTAATCAACACACTGGACCTACGGGGTCGATCCATGTGACAGCCAAAATCCGGCTACGCCCTGCCTGTTCATAGAAATTCGAATGCAACCAACATACAAAGTACATAATCAAAGCACCGGATAGTGTCATCACACTTTTACATGACTGTACATTCACTCACCCAGTCTACGGTGCAGGAAATCCTTTGAAAAGTCGATTGTATACTTGGCTTGTCAAATAATAGCCCATTTTCTTTATAGAATCAACGTTCATCACCGTATTCACTAAAGCCGGCCACGGGACTCTATCCTGAGCCAGCTTCATCCAGTTCGCTCCATCGATTCCTAAGGTCAACCTTGACATTATCCTCCCATCTACGCCGAGGTCTTCCCAGCTAACTCCTCCCTTTAAAACTCCCAACCAGTGACCTGTAAATTCCCCTACATAACTTTACATACGTCTGAATATTAACTCCAAGTACAAGGTAGTATATTTGCGTCATATTGTGAATTAGGTTAATATTTTAATATTTTCCGTCAAATCACAATTTTAATAAGATAATAAAATATAAAATATTTAAAATATCATTTCACGTCCTGAGGACGGTTAAATATAACCGAAACATGTCGTAAGAGACGTTCCAATTTGTAAATCGATCATTCGATGCGGAACGTGAAATGATATTTTAAATATTTTATATTTTATTATCTTATTAAAATTGTGATTTGACGGAAAATATTAAAATATTAATCCAAGTACAAGGTTTTCCTTCGCCAGTTAATATAACTTACAGCTGTTTAAGATATTCCCTGCGTTTACAGACATCTAAGGTTCATCACCGTGTTCACAAAATCTTGCATTTGGCAAGTCAAAAGTATTCATAGCCCATTTTTCATACATATTCATATTTTAACATACTTTTAACATTCCTGTATCAGACATCTCTCAACTAGTCTGTCCTGAGGATTACCAACCAGAATTCGGTGTCATTTCTAGCTTTCACCAAACCCCGCCAATGTGACCAGTTTCTTCAGTTCACCCAAAGCGCAGATCTGTAGTCCACGTGACTTGCTTCCACAGCTGATACTTCGCGGGCAGAAACTTCCTTCTCATAACTTAAATGCAAGTTTGCTTAAGTGTGAGCAAACACGAATCAATCACTGTCAGATTCGCGCGAAGGATTTTTCCTGTTACTCCACGCTCCAGATCATTTCCACTCGAAGGTTTTCAGAACCGATCGCTGTCCTTGTGTTCCATCATCCTGAAAACCACGAATGTCGACGTCTCCCCCCCCCCCCCCCCCCCCCAAAAGGTAAGGATCTGCTGTAGTACAAAAATACCAAGATACCTGTTGAATGAAGCACAGTGCCACTTCTTTTTTAATATTATCTTTGGCATCTAGCACAGGGCAACAAGTGGAAAAATCATTAAAGTGGACGGTCAAGACATAGGAAATTATCAAAGGGCCCACGGCGGGGGGTCGCGAACCATTGGCACAAAAAAGTAAGGCTAATTTTATGACGTTGTATCAACCGTTGAGTTTAAAAAGCGATGTGGTAAGATAGTTATGAACGACAAACAGGAAAGGAAGGTCATGGCTTCCTTTACTGCACTGTTCCCGCATTTGCGTAAATGTGCTGACAGCCTCAATTACTGTGACAGGATTCGAACCAAGTTACCAGCAGGACAGCACAGTTTAATGCTCTTTACTTGTCATGGTTCTTAATAAGTTCCTTCTGAACATCTCAAAGGGAGAATTTTGTTAGAATTTCTTCCGCAGTGGCTTATAATGCTGAACAAAGCAGCCCCGAAGACATGCTTTAAACTTTTCCCCCTGAAAAAAGAAGAAACAGAGAGAAACAAGAAAGGAAATGAAGGAAGGATCGGAAAAAAAAAGATTTCGTATCTTTGTGCCTCAAGGATATCTTAATATCCTGTAGATATTCACTTCGTTCTGCATACAAGTGATACGGTAATCGTAATTCACTGATATAGTTTCGTGCTTTTCCTCGGTTGTACTGAATAGGCTTACTTTAACCTGATACCGTCACAACTTATCGACTCTTCTACGATATTCAAACACGAATTTAGGCTTTTCAACGACGTATTCAATGCTTCCTTTACATAATACTGCTTTGCATACTTTATAAAAAATATGTAAGAAAAAAAGTTCGCTTATTTATCGCAGATAAATTCAAAAAGAAAGACAGCTCTTAGATACATAAAAAAAGTTCCTTACATAATTATTACGTAAATTATGCAAGGAAGTAACTGCAGCTGATATCCAACCCAGTGTTGGTGAATAAAACCTGGAGACAGCGTGTATATTACACACAAAGCTACTTCCCCCTCGTAAGCTTTACAAAGTTGAGTCAAATCTGAAAGTGTCCAACCAACACACCAATGTGAGGTAACTAGACTGGCTCACGCTAAGTATAGAACTATGCACCTCTGAATGTATTGCCAATCGCCAAAACTCTCCTGCCCTTTGCTTCAAGCGGTCAATACACTACTAATTAGTTTGAGAGACACCCAAAATGTGACTGGCTACAGACTGAAACTCCCAAAGAACGTCGGATGGCGTTTCTCCATTTCTTACGTTCAGAACGGCGAAATGGTTCATTTAACGTCAACAAATCATTTACTAACAAAAATTATACTTTGCCAGCTAGCTCACTACAAGCTTGACTTACATTACTGGATGATAAAAGCTCGTAACTGTAATGTGAGCATGTTTTTGTAAAACAGGGATTCCCCACTCAAGACGCCAGCGTTATTACTGCCATCTGTTGGACTACACTTCAGCTCGTGGCGAATTAACGTACTCTTCAGGACGTCCACAAAGTGTCTTCGTTAAAAAATGCACACATTGTATTTCTACGTTTACGTATTAAACGAAACTCACACAACGTCAAACAACCTAAAATCGCACCATATTCAGAAATATAACACGCATTTTATCAGAAGTAATAACCAACACGAAACAACCATCATTGTTTTTGGGAGCGAGTTTAACAACTTCCACTAGACGGCGACACCGATTGGAGCACATTATTCAAAACAAAACGGCAGTCTGTCATCTTTTCACTCACCAACAACTGCCTGTCATATTAAATAGACAAACAAAGTTTTGCTTTCATAAATAGACCATCAATGTCTTCATCTAACGTCAAAATAATAATTTTGGCTAATTTTAACAAGAATACAACCAACTAACAATGAGCACTTCAGCTTAAATTCTGACGGCTTTTTGCGGCAACAATGCATATACGGCTGTAACATACGTTTTAATCAAATGCGTTACATTGTTGTGATATGAACCGATTGTTAGCATTCAAAACTACAACTTTACCGATGGTATACTGGAGCTTACGACTAATCGGATAAGCGACTTATCGATTGTTGGTTTATGAAATCGATACGCTTTAGCAGTCGATAATGAAAACGATTTTCTGAAAGATGAATATGCAAAGAATGTGACGGGAATCCGTCGTGGTTTAATTTAAGACGTTACCTCGTCCCCAAGGATTCTTTCTTAGCAAAATCTTAAGCGTCTATTACTTTTATTGACATGTTTCCTATAGCAACTCGCCTTTATCTCGCTTAACGATCTGACATTACGAGCCGTCACTTGCAAGATTAACACCTGGCAGATGCCAATGAGGTACCCTTCTAAAGCTAAGTCTTCCTTAATATTAATATAAGCAAAAATTACAGGCCTCTTAAGTAAGTTACATAACCACAAGGCAATGGTCAATTTGTAAAAAAAAAACACTTCACGTAACGCCACGAATAAAATATATTAAATAAAACGTTATAAAATATTTCATATACATATAAGAACAGTGCTTGGCAACAATGAGGAAAATTAAAAATAATGTTACTCGCTAGAGTTGGTACGAGTGTAAATAAATTGGTACACTTATCATACTGACTTCTTCAAATCACTGGGGGGTTTTTAAAAAAAATATTAATCTGATATGTTTTTAATCTTCACATCAGCAAATGTTTACTCAATCTGGCCACTTCACAGTTAACAACACTGATGTTCTACTCTCCACTTCGCAAAAATAAGTTCTCATCTGGAGAGGGGGGGGGGGCGATCTTAGCTTTCAAGTCCAGCACGTAGTACGTAAAGTTTATGCTTTGGACATAAATATCTTATACATATGTGGGGATATACTACAATTCTAAGAATGATGGCCATATTGAAGAAATAATCCAACGTCTACCTAGACATACTGGAGAAAACCGTGGGAAAACAGAGCTCGTTTCCATATTCGAATTGTGAGTTTGAAAACAATAACAGTCATCAAGGTGATATGACCTCGAGACTAAACTCTTCAATATTTCGAATACGATGTAAGTTACGATTCATAAGGTAGTAACACAGAGACTCACCGAAATTTCCTCGGTGCTCATCTCGCTGAGTTGGGCAGGAACACACTCCAATCCATATACTTCAGTATAATCTCGAACACTACAATAACACAGCAATAATTACACTATATCAGGGCTGTGACCAACATTAATTTGATAACACGGTCCCACATCTGACACCTAATCAGAGATTTTGTTTACGTCAAAATATTCAGCTCACTCAGGTCAACAAATATATGCATATGGTTATTCCCCTGATAGCCACGCCTACCAGCGCACTGATTGGCTGCACTATCGAGCAGCAAACACTACCGCCAATCCATGTCGTAATGCAAGACCTTAACTTTAAATTACATTAAATCGAGGTCAAGGGTTAGTGAATTACAGTAGTGGATACAGCATGTGGTATAAAATTATGTATTTTGTGTGATCTTCGCACATCTTCTGTTCAACTGTTTTCTGTATTACAAAGAAAACAGCTGAAGACGAAAAACACGTTTCTGATGCGACCAAGATTGACAATAACTGCTCAAAGAAATGAAAATCATAATTGCTTAGGTGGATCATACTGATGAACATTTGAAACTATTAATCACACAAAAGGGATTGTAAATTATCCCACTTATGACAGATTTTGTGAACCAGGGCAGAAATCGGTGAGTGGTTAGATTCATCCTGGAACTCACTGGATAGAAGTCTTTGGGTCAGCCCTGCAGCTAATATAAATGGTTTCACTGAAAATAAAATATTGTCCCACTCTGAAATTAACTCAGCTGTACATCCAATAGCCTAGTCACTGCACAGACTGTACTATCCCGGCTCATCACAGAAGAAACGATACAAAAGTGTTACGACCTACATCTGCCATGACATATATATTTATTGAAATACAAGGACACTATATTTATTACTATGTAAAGTAATTCATATTTCGTGTCATAATCTCTGAAACAACAGCTTTTGATCTGCAATAACTACACATCAAGCCCAGTCCATTCAGAAAATACAGGCTACTCCAAATCATTATACATACAAAAATATGTACATTAATCCTTCGGCTACCGAGTGTTTGTTACCTCACGGACTCTTCTATGCTGAAAAGAAATGTACAAATTTTTCCCAATACTTGTTCAACGATGACAGAGTAGGTACAAGATCCATACCACTCTGGTCACAATGATATATACTAGATGAAATAATTTAATAATCTCTGATGTTTCCTTCTGCGGTGATGCTTTTAAAAAGAGACGATAAACCTCTTGTATATGTATAAACACTACATAATACAGATGGGGATCTGAGTTCAACCATATTGTCTTCTGCAGTCACGTACAGGAAAGTTAAGTATGAAAAACATGTCAACTTTCATATATAAATATGTACAGGATTAATAATATATAATTATAGTAAAGCAAATTAGAAACAATATGTTCTGAACTCATCAGAAGCATCTCCCTAGAAGACATTCAGTCACTCAACAGTGGCAGACAGACACTCATTTAATGAAGATGCAAGAGACCTGTCTGCTTAGCTGTAAACATCAGCCAGCTTGTTTGTACACACACTTCAAGTCTCCTTTCCATGATAGGTTTCATGATGTTTCTAAACTGATCATGTGATCTTTTAGGTTATTTGCCAATTTCTGATTATACTTTACGAATGAACTTCCATTGATATTTAATAATATTTCATTTATGTTCACTGACTGAACTAACATTAACAACTGAACTAATAAAAACAAACATCTGATAAAATGAGATATATCTTGAAAGACAGGTTATCAACTGAGGGAATAAGTTTACCGACAAAATTTACAGATTCCTCAAACACTGTATCACATATTACATACCACACAATATGGACTTCGAAAGCCTGTTTAATGAAAAACATTTTTCTAGATTGCTTCTCATTATAGTCTTCTATTATCTTTGAGGCTCCTGGCTGCTTGCGAAAGGCAGCGACAAAGATTACAGAGTAAAGGTGATTTTTGGCAAAGGACACCTGCACGTAATCTACCCTCTAAACCAGTTTACAATTAGAATTTCCCAAATTTTCAGCATTTATGCATTATTTTATATCAGAGACAATGGATTATGTTGATTTTAACAATGCCATTAATGAATATCACTAGTTAACCTTACTTTAGAAGCTTACTTCAACATTTAAATTCAGACTGTAGCCTGATTCCAAGCCAAGCATAGTGTTTCTTTATGAAAAATGCAAACTTATATCCCTCCTAGCTGTTGTCACCTCTACTATATGTCATACATAATTCTACAAGCTTGATGGAATAATCCCAAGAAGAATCTTTTGTTATAATCAAAAGTCTGACTTAGTTATAAACTCCATTCATCAACAGGTCTCCGATATATTTCTCCAGAAAAAAATATATATATTATATTATGCAGTCCCGCATTAACCAGGAGCAAAACCAGCAACCCATAATGGCTTCGAATGGATAACACACCAGAAGGAAACACAATTTTCATAATCCCTATAACTAATACTTATTTTATAAATACTTACCAATGGAAAGTTCCAGAGAAATATACTGCGTAAGTTCCACACATTTCGATGACAACACACCTGTTATTTTGTGGCCATTTTTCAAACTTCTATACCAACACAAAGAAAAAAACACCATACACAAATAATTGCCGGTCCTGGCTTTAAAATTACCAAAGAAGTTAACTTTGTTTACTGTGCCACCTGCTGATAAACATTCGAACTCTTCCGAGATTATCCACCTAAGATACTCATCATTACAGCACAGTTAATTTCAAAATTTAGTTGGTAGTATTTATTTTTGTCTACTATCACGAAATATTCTGATAAACAGAACCAAAATAGGGCATGAAACATCAAAAAGTGGTCCCTTTGTCACCACCACACGGCTTGTCCTCAGCCTATGAATGGCAGTGGTGACTTCCATCCATGCAGGGCAACTGGAAAAAAATTGTAAAAGCAATAGCCAACAGCTGACAAAGAGTAACCCCTTAGTCTGATGATTGGGGAAGGGACTAATAACTCACAAGAGATCAGCATTCTATGAAAGCTACACAGGGCCCTGTAGGTTCTTGTGAACACAGTAACGAACCTTCAAATTCCACAAAATGCAGGGAAATTTTGACTAGTTTATCAACTGTTAGTTTCTTGAGGGCTCCACTTCAGAGTTTTCTAAATGTGAAAATGAGAACAAACATCATGGTTCCTGCTTGAAACACTTCAAATAAGTTTTACACAAGAAAATACTTTGGAAGTTCTGAGCAGCTATGTGAGCAAGTCTGTGCCACTCTGGACTACGAATGATTCCGAATGTAACAGTTGAAGGAGATAAAAACTCAATTACTTAGTATGACCAATATGTACCACAGAAGTTTATGATTAAATTTCTTTGTTGATTTTTAAATGAAATCCAGTCCTAGTTTTTTTTCTCCCAGACTGTTGTCACCATGTCTCCCTTGAACTCTGAATTTACCATAACCAGCCCAACTGAGGTTTGAACTGGGAATTTCTTAAATATAGGACTATAAGAATGTTACAACATGAACCTATTTGGTCATCAGTTCTTGGGTAGTATATATATATGTAGAAGTACTAGAATAACATCAGGCAGTCAACACAGCCATTCCACTGTCTGACAAGAATGTGTTATGGTAAATCAGATTTTACACTTCAAAATCACCATTTAGTAAAAGCTTGGTGAGTTCAGTTAGTACAGATATTGGGTTATAGGCTGGATAACAGGGTTCAAATCTTAACACAGCTCTTTGACACAACATCAAGACTAGCTGGTCTGCCCAATGGGGTTCATCAGTGGTTGGGCCATGAATTACACACCTCCATCTCATGCAAAGGCCAAGAATGTGTGAAGCTGTACCTCTACTGCCCCAGGTGACGAAGGTGTGGAGTTATACTCCCCATACGTTCTGCATTCCATGATGCTTAATTAATTTCCAAGGACAACTTAACTGTTTAGTTGACACAGTATCAAAGTTATTCTTCATTCCCTTTACATGTCTTCATGGCATGCTTAAATAAAAGTAAAACTTTCCTATTTACTGTTAATGCTGATTAAGATATATCCAGAATGAATTAAATTCATACACACAGAATGCCTCTCTCTTTGAGAAACAATGTCCTCATCCCCATCTAAAAAACGCTCACTGAAAGGAAACAATTCTGCACAACCTTCTACCAGCCATGACTGAACCTGTAACTTTCAAAAATACAAAACAAGAAATACAAATTTTAATAAATAAATAAATATATATATTTTTTAATTACACAACTTCGTCTTTCGTATGCGACACTGAGCATCTGAGTGATGTTCATAGGGGAAAAAATGTTCAATTTTGTAAACATTAACAAAAGTAGATGAATGTCATACATAGCAAACCTTCGACGACATAGTCCCCCAAAAACCTTCACATGACTGTAAAGAAATAATATATTTATATACGTTACAACATTTACATACAGAACTCCAATACAATGAAGAACAAGTATTGGGGTTTCTAAATTCCACTACATGGAAGCTCAATTCTAAAAGTCTGTGACGATGGTGCGTTGTTGAAGTAAAGAGTTTTCTAGATATTTTCCATCGTCTAAAAAATAAAATCATATAATCAACGATGTTTCGGAGATGGGACTCTATCTCCATCTTCAGGTAGACCTACTCAGTTCAGCCCAATCGGTAGAGCTAATCCTATCTCCGGACATGGCAAAGGTGAGTTAGGTGTACCTGAAGACGGAGACAGAGTCCCATCTCTGAAACGCCGTGGATTTTATGATTTTATTTATTAGATGATGGAAAATATCCAGAAAACTCTTTACTTCCACTATGTGGAATTTTCACAGTATAAGCATTTGAAGCCAGAAACTGAAAAGACAGGTACTCATAACTTAACAGTAAATGCATTAACAACACTTGTATAATAACAGATAAGGAGGAATGAAGCATGCCATGTGATAATTGAAATACACCGACAATTTACATGCCAGCTGCAGTTTTGTAAGTACACACATGATTATGTACATATTTCACACATTCAGTCACTTTTACATAACTATGACTTATATAACTATTTTTTGGAACAACTGTACACTTTCTACATCGCTATTCATGTCCTTAACCAAGAAGTATAACTTTGCTTAAGACTTGTACTGGCAGTGGTAACTTTTCTCAGACATGGATAGTTGTCTTCTGGGTTGTAGTGCCATGTAGTCTGCTATAAGTTTATCGATGTTTCAGGGGTCCTTAAAGCCTGCCTCCATAATCAGGGTGATGAGGCAACATGGCCCTCAGAAATGTCAGTAAATTTCTACCAGACCACTTGATGCTACAACCCAGAAGATGGCCATCTTCATACTCATCACCATGAGAACGTCGAATCCTACTTTGTCAGACTTGTTTTCTTTACGTTCAATATCCAGGAAAGAGGTGTTAGCATCCTGCAACTCTTTTATGAAATGGGAGCTTACAAAGGGAAATATACTGAGGCTAGACGAGGGAAGATGATATTAAGACAGATCATAGAGAAATAGGTTATGAAGAAAGACAATGGATAGAACTGTTTCAAGAACAGGTTGGGCGGTGGTCTTCACTAACGAATGTGTTAAATCTTCACATTATATTACTAAAGACTGTTAATTTTCTGATATTTATGAGAAAAGAATTTATACATGTTATTTCAATAGACATGCACTTGTATTTCTATTTAGTATCAGACTGTGTACTTTAATGTTACAATTTTGAAACTAAACATATCTGAACTTGTTTTCAACATTTTTCTTCCTAATAAACCAGATTTATTTCAAATAGGGAGAGAATTTTGTTTACCAAAGATGATAAAAATTGGTAAACAGCTCTGGTATAGAGAATGATGTGTATGCGATTCACTGTTTAAGGCGATTTGAATGTTGAGAAAGCAGTAAAATTCCTTCTATTCTGTACATATATTTTTAAAATATGATTCCCATGATCAGTTACAGAAAAAGTTCTTCTGACTCGTGCCCTACATCCTTATTTCCCATTCAAGTATAATTTAGCATACCATTCAGCTTAAGAATTTAACTTACTCTTCAGATATCAGAAAATCATTCACACCAATGAAACAGACGAATATATCAATCAAAGTATAGACCAACACTCTATTAACAAACTGCGAAATTTGGCGAAAATTTAAATTCACATGAGGACCAGTATGTTCACAACCCATTTTCCTCTTTAATGTCATGCCTTTAGTACATTTCTAATCAGAAGTGAAATTTGTACTAGAGTTCTTCTTTGTATATACATATTGCACATAGTTGGCTATTAACATAACCTATAAAAGCGTGCGAGATGGTTCACGATATATATAAATCTTGTAACAATTAAACACACAATATTATCAGTCTTACCAAAATGAAATTAGATGAAGTCTGTCAAACAAAATGACTATGGCTGCTTTGTATTCTGCTTCTCCATTGTAAGTCTTGCAATTTCAGCACCTAGCGTGTCAATATTTTCCTGCGAAAGTAAAATAAAATTTAATTCTATAAGTAAATGAAAATATATCTTTAACAAATATGAAACATGAAACAAGTAACATGGAAGGAATCATTGGAATTCCCATTTCTTAAGCAACAAAACAGATATAAGATGAAGACACCCACATATAGTGCAACCGTCCTTCCACGCTCTCGTCTCGATGTTTGTTTGTTTAAGTCACGGGTCAAATCCAGTGACGTGTCAGGCACTCGTATGGTTGCAGCTTCGAATCTTTTTAATAAGTGCGGAAGGGATTTTAGGAAAATTTGATAATGGGCAGGGATTTAGGTTGGTGAGCATGAGCGGCTAAGAGAGGGCCCCTCAACCACAGTCGCTCTTTAAATACTACTGCATTACGTAGTTTGTCATTGAATTTGAATTAAATGCGGTGATCTGATTCATTCTCCCACAGCAGCGGGAACGCGCTCATAATTCAATTGGACCTTCGCAGCAAGGCGATGGTCGTAATGCAGTCGTCACCCGACATCTGGAAAGGGTTCATTCCATGTCTGGGATGGCTTAAGTGTTTTGTTTACGCCTGGCTCCCTCCAGACGGAATGTCAAGGAGGGAGACGCCCAAGTGACTGTATGTGGCCACATTCCTTGAACTTAATACGTTTAACGAAGCCAAAATTAATAACTCAATCAAATTTAGATGAAGTAAGGGATTCAAAAAATCATCTAATTACACCTTCTTCATTTATATAAACCAGATTAACATGTCAAAACCTGGTTTACCCTTCATCTCAAGGTTCAGCCCGTTCGGGAATCGAACTATGAACTTGGACTGGCACAACAGTGAGTAACAAACTTGGTTCCTTCTTGTTTATTAACTAAGGGTAATGCACACATCAACAGTACCTTGAGTGTGATATTTTTTAGGAGTGTGTCTTCAAGTACTGATTGGAGTTTCCTGTTAATTTCCAGTGATAATTCCAGTGTCATATTGTTGTCCACTGCCCGGGAACCATACACCGAGGCCATGATACCACCATGCCGTGAAAGATCCGCCTGAACGTGACAAGATTATGTCAATTTGTGAAATGTCTATGCTCAAGCAATTGTTACGCACAATTATAAGTTATAAATTTATACATGTAAGCAGCATATTCATGTGAAACTAAAGTTATTTTAATTTACCACAGCAATTAAGTAAAACAATCTTGCTATCCATCAGAAGAGGTGTGTGAAATATTATAACAAAACATTTTACGCCCATTCTTTCATATGGGAAGCTTCTAAAACAGTGAATTATATTAGTTTGGAATTCTCAGCCAATCACACGTGTGAGCTTATGTCAGACTAAATTAGTTTTTATTTATATTAAAAACTGTGATTTTAGTCCTATTCTTTTCCCTCTCTCTTTTGTTGACAAAATACCTCCATAATACAAAACAAAAATGTAATTCCTTTTTACCTTTGTCTTCATCCTTTCATGTCCAGAATGTGGAGGCTTGTAAAAAAAATTTTGAATTAAACACATAGCACAAGATACTCAATGTTAATCAAAGTATTCATTTTCTGAGCACTTGAACACTAATGCGATAGAATGGATTTAACAGAAAAAATTAGCAAAACAGCTTTGCAGCTGCAGAGAATTCCTTTAGAATCTCTGTAAATCGATCGTCTCTATTCGAAACAGAAACCCATATCTAGGTACAAATTGAAAGTAAGCTATAGTTTTTGAAGTTGTCATATTCATACATCGCAGTGACCATCTTTAAAAACTTTGATGTCAAAAGAAATTCATTATTTCAAAACATTACATTATGTTGCAACCAATGAAAGATACTGAAACATTTTGTTGCGTAATGAACAGTGGTTTTATTACGACATAGCATCTTATTTTATTTTAACTTGTTAGTATAAAACTGATATACATTTTAAGTTGTTCAAATCCGTGATACGAACTGGATTTCATTTAAATTTAAATTTCCAATCTTCTGACAAGTGGTAAACAAATTATATTACAAAACAGTACACCGTACTTTGTTCTGGTCCATTGAGGCAGGGGACAGCACACCCGACTGCTCACGCATAATGTAGTTCTGCACAATGCGTGCTTTCTTTTGCAGTTCAGCCACTAATTGGCGCGTATGCTCCTCCATGAAGTCCAATTTCTCTGTCTTGCGTGCATTAGCTCGCTGCAGTTTAACGATCCTTTCAATTAGTGTCTGGCGATCTGGCTCCAAAGGAGGGCTCGCCTAACAATAAATTTCATTTTTAAAATTTCAGGTTTTACAGCATTTAATGATTAGTAAATAATGAATTCTACACGATACAGAAGGAAGCAATCATGACCTAATTTAAGACATTATTTTGGCATTTGGCTGATGGGATTGAAAAAAAACAATGGAAAACCTCAGTCATAATCACGGGTCTCCAGGCAGAGACCCAAAGAAATATGCAAGAATGTTATTTCAGTAAGTAAAATACTTAACATCAAGACTTTTCATGGTTGATTTAAAAGTGTGTGTAAAATTTTCTGGACTGTATAGAAAGAAAATTTGCAAGGCAAAAATTACATCCAAAATATGACTGATCAAATTATCAAAATGCTGTGGAATAAAACATTACCTGACTGGTACCAGAGTTTCCTGGGGAGCTCTGCCCTCCTGCTGATACCTTGCTGCTACTTGTGTTAACCATGCTGCCTTCTACAGTGTTCAGAGAATTACAAGAACTGGCTCGAGAACCCTGCCCCAGGGAATTGCTGCCACTTGAAGACTCGTAAATGTCCAGCTTCTTCCGACAATGTTGCAGCTCCCTTGTCAGCTCCTGCACAGAACGGTGGTTCAAGTCCAGTGAACAGGAACAACTAACATAATATGTTTTAAAATCATAGAAAATTAACCCCATAGACCTAAATCCTTCTTGAGAAGCTTGTTGATGGTTGGTTCCAAATGACGTGATGGCCGTTCGTGGCATCTTCCAATCTTAGAACGTCCAGAATCCATTTCTGAGGTGGAAGCCTGCTGTACTGCACTTCCTCAAGTTTTGCATCTGAACGAGAGCCCAGTGTCTTGCCCAAGACCACAAGGTCTCACTTAAGTAAATAATAGTAGCACATTCAAGAAATTCCCCACATTTTATGTAAACCCAGGTTTTCTACAGTGTTCACAAAAGCCATCTACTCGTTCCTACACTGGGCCAGATGAATCCAGTCCACATCCTCAAACACAGTTTTTTTAAATATGAGAAAATTATTTTCATAACATATTCTAATAAAAAACATAAATGTCCAGTCCACATCCTCAAACACAGTTTTTCTAAGAATGAGAGAATAATTTCAGAACATATTCTAATAAAAAACATAAATGGGTTATATCAATATTAACAGATGCTACAGCTTTAAACCTTGAACCCTAATTTCAGAAAAAGCATTTTCTTATTTACCTGCCAACCTGATTCAAAGGAAGGTAGTAATATAAATGTTAACCTTAAGCGCAGATGCCTGTTTCCGGCGCAGCACCTGGTTTTCGCCCTTCTGATCCTCCAGCTGCTCCGCCAGCACCTCGGCTTGCTGCGTTCGCTCGGCAAGGTGACGCGCCAGTAACTGGTTCTCCTCCTGCCGCTGCTGTTGCTCCTGTTCTAGCTGCCAACTCAGTGATGAAACACGGTTCTCAAGCTCCACTATCTGTCGCTGAAGCGGCCCCTGTTCACACTCTAACTGCTGGGCCTGGTACATCAAATAATAATGGCTACTTTACCGACATTTCACAAAGACGTTGCAGTGCATATACTGACCACTGAATGCCACAGCAAAGTGGTCAGCTCTTCTACTTCATATTAAAGTCTCAACATGAAAACCAACTAAGGTTTTTATGGTTTCCCTCAGTTTCTCCAGGCAAATACCAGAATAGTATTTTATCAGGAAGCAACTACTACTATGTTACATATGTGAGCTAGTGATAATATCATTAAATGAATCATAACTGTATAATCAAACAAATAAACAAATGTCTTACTAAAGGACTTGGAATATAACTAAACTACGTCCATGACGCAAAGTCCTTCTTGAAAAGCAAAAGTCACTGTATATTTGTGTTTATTTTAATTTTACAATTTCAGATAGCAGACAGAATGATAAAAGGTTTTGAACTGAACGGTAATGAGAATATCCCAAAGTTAATCTGCTCTTCATCTGGATAATACAGTGGTATGGATGCCAGACAGAAAAGTGGCCTCATTTCACTAGCTGCAGCAACGCAACTCTAATCCGATTGGGTATACTACCTTCGCTTCTGTGGCAGAGAACTCCGACTGCAGACGAACATTCTTTTCTGTAAGCTTCTGTGTGAAGTCTAACAGCTCTGCTTCACGCTCCCGACACACTGCCATGTCCTGCTGCAACTCCGCATTGCTTAACCTGAGGTGCTCCACTTCCCCCTGACTTGCTACCAGTTTTTCCTGTTCACTTAACAATAATATGATGATCAAACACAAGTTTTGAAAAGTATGAGCATAATATAATGGACCAGTTAATGGTACCTGCACCTTGTCGTGGTGGTGGGGCTTGAGTACCTCAGTGACCCCAAGAGCTATGCTGGCGGTAGCATAGCTACTGGTAGGGCCTCCCTAGCCAGAATGGTCAAGGGGGAGAGGTCAGACTAAGACAGGTACTCTGGTCCTCCAGGTTGGGGGTCGGCCGCAAGGCTAACAACCTTGCACCGTAAAAAGGAAGATGTTTTGAAACCTCGACGAAAGCCTCGGACAGACGGACCTAACAGAGGACCAAATGGAAGAGGAGAACTGAGGATGCCACGGACCGAATACAAACCGGAGAGCAAAAGAAGAAGAAGAAGAAGAAGAAGTTAATGGACCTTTAAGTCAATTTAACAACACTGGATATATATGGTTTACATACCTATCAAATAATAACACTGAACACAATTTTTTTACATATTTTGACCTCCATTGATTCAGAAATAACATAAGGAAATGTAAATATTATACCACCAGTCCGTTCTCAGTGTCATCTGCCACAACATACATGAGAATTAAAGCATCAGCTTACTGTTGGAATTGTATCTTGAGTGACTCCATCTCCGACAACCGTGCTTGCAGGTCTACGACATCCTGCCGCTGTTGGACTGATGACCTCTTTAGCTTCGACAGGTTCTGCTCATACTCAAGTCTTTCTTTCTCCAGGTTCTGCACCTGTTGACACAGCATCCACAATATTTCACAGTTATATAAAATGACAAGAAAATTTCAACACTAGTCAAGATACCTTCTGGAAATCTGTCTTGAAGGGTTCTGATAATGGTGTAATACAATATGGAGTGATGGGTTTTTCAACCTTGTCCATCGCCTGATGTTTTAAAATTACGCAACGTTGCAAGGACTGATCTGCCTCATTTTGCATGTGTGGTGAAAGGGAAGGAGGTCTGTTACAATGACCTACTCTCAAATCACTGGACCGGTGGTTGAGATTAGCTCATCCAGTCCTTGAAATGTTATATAATTTTATAGCATCAGATGACGGACAAGGTCCAAAAACCCAACAGTCCAGATACCTTCAGGAAATCAATTTTAAGTTGTTTGTATTTATGAAATCTAGACCTTTAACAAAAAACTGTCCTTTGATAATGCTGGTATACCTTGATGGACAGAAGGTTGTTCTCATCTATGATGAGCTGATGTTTTCTTTTCAGGTTGTCCACCTCGTGCTGCAGTTGCCGATGCATTTCCTCCTTATCCTCCCGCTCATGTCGCTCCAAGATCAGCTTTGCTTGCTGCTCTTTCAACTGCTGGTCTGCAATTACACTACACTAGTCAATATGAGACTAATACATACATGGCAGCAAGACAGGAGGTTACGTGTACCTAATTAACTATTATGAGACATAATCAAAAAATCTGAGCTGCCAAATTTAAATTACTAAATTTTACTCTTTTGGTGCACACAGTTCAGCCACTGTTGAAATCCACATTCGGCTTCTTGTTTGGGCCTCTACGAATAATTTCGCATGGCGAACGGAAGGATGGAGGATTAAGTCAGTAGAACATTGAGGAGATTGTAATGGTATAATATTTCTAGTATGAAAAAGAAATAAATGTACTGAAACTTCCACAGGTACCATCCACTCCTACATATCCACATGCTCTTATCAATCGCAAGATCAAAACTGACAAAATTCACTTGCATATTAATTTAAAAATAGTACAATCACAATTGCTAAAACACTGCAGTAATGACACCATTTGAGAAACTGATCAATTTCAGAGATGTATTGTGGTTTTCTGGGATGTTTCAACACCGGTTATGCTGTTAACATAACTGTGCTTCTTGTGGTTGTAAGGTGGCAGGAAATTGGTGAACCTGAAAATGGTGATATATGACAGCACCTGATTAAGTACCTAGTGTATGAGCCCTGTTCTCCTGGGACTCTTGGTATGCCTGCATCATTGCTTGGCAGTCTCGCCGCACCTGATCCAATTCTTCTTGCTTTTCCTGAAGCTTCTGGACCAACTTGTCCTGTTTTGCCTGCACCTCCTACAATTATAACATTCAAAATGTTATATCACATAATAATAATTTCCAAAATCCCACAAAAAAAGATCATCAGAACCATATGTACAATACACACACACACACAACTATCCTGCCTTGTATTATGCCATACGACCTGTTACGGTTTAGTCCGATGTCCTCAGTGGTCATTCTAAACTTCCCTTCTTCATATAATTTAATATTGCTATAATCTGTTTCGGTACTAAACACTCTTCTGCAATATCATATTCTTTAACCACATACATCACACCTTCTAGATCATCAGTACCTTATGAGCATCCATTTCAGTCTTCAATTTATTCTGTGCCCATTTTATTTTGATATCGCGAGAACTCAGATCTTCTTTCAATTTCTCATTCGTCTTCTGCGCTACAGACAGCTCATGATTCTGAAACACAGAACATACGTAACTGCCACAACGTCTGATCTTAAACTATAACTACGCTAAAATAATCTGAAAAGAAGTGACTATGAAGAAGAGATTATGATGCTGCGTAGTCTCGTAAGCCCCTTTGGATCTAGGTCACGGGGAACATGCCACATGTTCAATTAACATAATTACGTCATTTGTCAAATTCTGGCAGTTCATATTTAAAGTAAATGAGTTATGAGCGTTCTACTTAATGTCATATGAAAAGACCGTGAAATCAATATAAATCTGGATGTTACCTTGACGTCTAGCATTTGACAGATCCGTGCCTTTTCAGCAGACGCGCCCTTCAGCTTGCCAAGCAGCATGTCTTTTTCTCGAGTCACTTCACGGAGCTTCTTTTCCAGTAACTCCCGTTCCCCCTTCTGGTAAATCACTTCTTTTTCGCTCACAGCGTAACGCATTACCATTGCCTCTTTGTCTTTGTTCGATGCCTCATACTGCTTTGTCACCTGAACCACAAACCATGATACCTTGTACAATCCTTCCGTGAACATCATTTACACAGAAAAAGAAATGTGACTGCAAGAGTACGTAAAACCCTATGCCAAATGCTGGTCCTCTGGGTTGTCATTCCTTCTCATAATATGTCCCAGCCGTAGGTGATTACAAACATGTTTTGGAGGAAGGTTATTACCTCCATATTCAAGGTAGAAGGTGATATATCTGTCTAAACTGTCAGTAACCTACCACAAGACAATGTGAAATCAAAACCCTAGGGTCTGAACAGACACGTATCATATCAGCCACAAACAAGAAAACACAACAAAGACAAGACAAAAATTAGAACACTCAATCACATGACTAAAAAAATGACATTCATAAAACATCTCTGGAGATTTTTTAATTGTTATTATTTTGCTGTGGTTAATGTACCTAGTAATTCAATACCTCACAACAAATTCAAACTAGAAAAGGGTACCAGCTTCTGTAAACAAAGAATATACCTGATGAAGATTGTGTAACAGTTACATGACATGAAATCCGTTACTTTCCTTAAAGATTATCAATGCTAAATTGCAGCTGCTGTCATGCACACCATTGCGTTTACAAAGTACTCAGGGAAGTTTGTACTAACTTAAACACAAAGCTGATACACCGTCAAAAATTCTTAAAAACAGGACTTAAAGGACCAAAACACATTTCAGAATGCATGCTAATTCTGAGATTCCCCAAGTGACTGAGGTGAACCATTAAAAACCCTGAGTCAGAAATTCCAGCCTTACAGCTGAGAGTCAAGCTCAAATTTCTCAAAATTCAAGCAGGAATTCTAAGTACTCAACCAAGATATTCATTTGAAAAATATGGAGAGAGGCGGTAATATAATATACAATTCCACGTGATGAAACATGATCCTTTAAATCCCCAAGTGACTGCACCTTTTCAAGTCTATTTTCCATGTCCTGCTTCATCTGACTGAAGGCCTCCGCCTGCTGAGTGGCCTGTGCATTGAGTCTATTCAGCTCCTTTTGCTGCTCATCAATTGTTTTCTCCACAGTTTCTAGCTGCACCATGTAGATTTCGTGTGATCGATCTGTTTCTAATCTTTGGTTTTCAGCCTCAAGTCTGCCAACATCATAGTACTCAGATGTTAACCTGATTCATATTCATATCAAACAAATTTAATATATAGGTTATAACACCTATAATTATACAATACCTGTCCAGAAAATATTTAATAGACTATATGGAGCAGAGTCCTTCTAGAGAAGCTAACAGTTACTCAGTCAAGAAATTGTCTGCCTCTTATGGCACCCCTGAAGGTTCATTATAGTGTTCACAGGAGAGCCAGATCACTTCAATCTACACCCAAACACCCTATTTATTTAAGGTCTGCTCTCACCTATGTCTGGTTCTCCCAAGGCTCTTCCCTTCAGGTTTTGTTATCCCCCCCCTTCCCCCCTTGATTAGGTCATACCCAATATTTATGTATATTCCAGTTTTATATCTCGTCTTCTGAATGGTAAAGTTTATTACAACCATACGACAGACCTAACAAAGTTCTAAATGAAATAGGTCACCACTTTCCTTTTCTCCACTACCAAGTTGTAATTAGTTTCTGTGTAAATAATGAGACTATAATGTTAAAAACTTAAAATACCACATTTTGGAAATACTGATATTGAGAAACATTAAATAATAATTTCTCTACATGGCTCTAAAATGTGACAACAGGAAAAAGTGATTACTACCTGTTGATTTCCATGTGTAATGCAGAAACTTGCTCTTTAAACTGGGCCAATTCTTGAATTACAGTTTTATAGGCTGGATGATTGAAAACTGACACCGATATGCCATTTGGAGGTTGACTTCTTGACAAATCTTCTGACTCTGGCAACTGCATATTTATCTCCATTAACAGTTCATCCTCAGCAGAAAGATTTGGCACTGCACAGTCCATAAACTTTGTTGTGATATCAGTTTCCATTTCTGCACCACTGTCACGCAAATCTTGCGAAGAGGTTTCAGAAAAGTGATCACAATTTGAATATGCATTATTAACAGTAAGACTGCCTGAATTTGATGAATCGATATCATCATTCGCTTCACACTCACTGGATGATTTACTAACCTCACTAATATGATCCAATTTTTTATTAGTCTCTTCAGGTACATTGTAATTCAGAGTACCCATTTCATTTTCATTATTGTTACTTGTAGAATGTGCGAAATTTGATGTCGGTAAACATGATTCCAAATCTTCATTAATACTTGATTCGGACATTCTATTATTGAATGACTTACTTATACAGGCAAAAACATACGCTTCGTTTTTTGAACATAAAAAAGGCATAGAAAACTAAATGTTACAGCTAACAGTCGTCAATAGTATTTACAATTTATACGCTGTTCATTGCATATTATTCATTAAACCCACGAAACTAATCAAAACTGTATGTCTTACGTTGACAAATCACACATTTTTGTGACCGATCGTTCACCCTACGTAACAACGAATATTTTCCATATCAGTGAACCAACTAAAACCTAGCAGCTAGAAATACACACTGTACAATATGAGATTTTAGTTCATAAAAATGCTGATATAAAATCCATATTTAATAACTACTAAGTATTACGTATCTTACGTTCTGGAGATACCTTGGCAGCTTTTATGCAGTCACAGTCATACATAACCTGCGGCCTACCATATTTTAATATGCCGTTGTTCAACAGAACACCAAGATTACATGATAATTATTACAAATACTTTAAAACCACGAAAATGTTTCATTAGTACTGCGGGAGAAGCATAGTTAATAAAACAATATCAGTCAACACGGACTACTTAATGCATTGGCTGAACACGCAGCTGAAGCACAATATTTCAGACATCGATCAACCTCCCATCTTTTTGTCAGAGCACAACCAATATTGCCATAACCAGATCTCTATAGCTCAATCGACGACAACGTAACCTACTATACAACAGGTACAGAAGCATACCATCTAACAGGCACTAGTGTGCTACTGCCTTTTACGTCAATTAAATAAATAGAAATTGCACTTGTGCATGCTTGTGTGAAATAAAACAAATATAGCATAAGCTTGAATCTAGAAACAGTAGGAGGTTATGATTTCCTGCATCCATGTGATGAGGAGGTTATGATTTCCTGCATCCATGTAACAGTACCTGTAAGAGCTGCCTCTTTCATAAGTGGCTCTTAGCAAACACTGAGTTTGATTCTACCTAAAAGAAAATCACTTAACCAAGATTCAAAGGTTGGATAGTAAAATAAGGAAATAAATATACTAAAAAAACAGGCAAATGAAAACTCTTATAACAGATGAGACACAAGACATAAACTGTGGATCCCTGATTGTTGTCTTACACATACGTAAGACTGCAGTAAAATATGAGAACTTGTAATGGTTAACGTAAAGGACATGTGATAAACACAAAGTACTTTATCCTCAAAATGATCTTATTTAGTAATACTGCATTATAGAAAATTAAGACTTTATACACCATATGGGAAAGATAATAAATATTGGGTATTGGTTGTTGGTTTCTGCTCTCATTTTTACACATTTCCTGATATCTGAAAAATAAACAATTCCACTTCTTTTTGACATACAATATTTAATAATGTTGACAGTTATAGTTAAGAAAAGTAGTATGTTTACAAATTACCTATCTGACATTGTGATTTAAATTCATGTTTGATATAGCACTTTTCACAAAATGCCAAGGAAAAAAAATAGTCCTTCTGGCTTACAATACATGACTCCAGATTGCATTGATAATGCACTCAAGTAAGTAAACTGAACATATAATTCATACTATGATTGGATTAATCATCTTTTTGCAGTCACTTCAAAGTACATTACATTACATAAACAAAAGGTTTAAAACTCAGACCCAATTACATAGTATGTGATAAATTAATACCGATAAGACAATAACATGAGTAAAACATACTGGCCAATAAGTTAGCTGAAAGATTACTGCCAAAACAAATTCAATTTAATAATAAAACTAATAAAATTAAGTTTAGTATTAGACTGGCTACAAATAATTCAAGAACATAATTAATCCTACAGTTATATAATGCAAACCAAAACATTAAATTACCTATATATAAACCATTAAGTAGTATAACAGTCAAAAAAATCAAATTAAAAATGGCACATCTTTTGATCAAAGAAGTTTCAGTAATATATCAAAGAGAAACTAACACAATTCAAGATCCTCCACAAATTCAATCCAGTCCAAATACTTTCCAGGTCTATATCTTCCTCAAGTAAAATATGACATGTTCACCTATGCATGGCATTAAGGCAGCATGACAGTTTTTAGATTCAAGGACTATCCACCTTAAAGAATCTCTATTCACTCAACAAAGTACATCATAATTGCACAAATCCAGCCAGCATATACAATTAGCTATGATCAGTTTAAATTTCCAGTATTTCCTTTAAAGATATAGGATTTGAGGTTTACAGTGGTGGGTCTGAAGATGGCTGTCTTAAAGTGAAATAATGAAAAACCTACTACTAGGCTGCAGATTTCAGGTATTATACTCCAAACCATGTTAACTATGAGAACACGTGACAATCACTACACTTGTAAGGATATGAAATCAAATTTTAATGACCTGGATGTATAGTGGAATAGACTGTAAAATGAAGATGTGCTGGATGCTTGAGCTTATCTAAAACAAGGAGTGGAGATATCCAGTCTGGTTGCTAAATATTCCACACATCTGTTGTCAACAGTACTCTAACATCACTCATCTCCAGACATAACAAAAAAGCACTTTCATTCAACAAAAACAATCCTCCCCCTAAAATACAAATAATTAAACTAATTAAGACCAAGTAGATCGGACGACACATCTCTTCAGTCCGAGACAAACAAAACTCAAGATATTATTGCTTCAAATAATTCGCAAACAGTGACTGGAGACCACAAATTTCAACCAACAACTTTAACCCCTAATACCTTTTTAATTTAGACACAACTTTTCAAATACCTTAATAGAGACCACACACAAATAACTGGGGTAATAAATAAAATAATGAGACTTCTGAGCAATAAAGTTATAATTTCCATCAGGACTGTACAACTTGGAGTCTCAGAAATTAAGCCACACTGCCCCCATCTCTTATAGTTTAGTGCTGATGTATATTATTAATACATGATTAACACCAGAAACAAAACTGATTATATCTACTCTTTTGACTCCCAATGAAGAATCAGGTCACAGTTGTTATGAACTGTATTTATCATATCATTACAGTACATATAAAAGAAACTCAGAAAATTACATTGCACTGACATATTATTTTATCAGCTTTTATCATAAGGCATAAAATGGAAGATTATAAGAAAACTTACAAAATATAAATGTATGAGAAGTGATGCTTGACCTTCAGCAATTTTGTGCTTAGCATGGATTCTTGTAACCTAAAAAGCTGTGAAAGGCTTAAACTCATCTATCTGAAGTTTCAGTCACAAAATAAACATGTCATGGAATAAAAATCACACATTAATTAAAAAAAGAACATTTTTAAATTAAATTTGCCCATGAAAGAAATTGCAATATATACATGACAATTCACCAAACTTGTAGTTCAGTATTTTTTTTCATATCAATGCTAGAAGAGAAATGACCTAGCTGTATACATAACTGCATTATCAAAAGCGGTCTGTTTTCACCAAAGATAATATGTACAAAAGGGGAATTTAAAATAATTGTTTATGCAACCACAGTTGTACAACACAACACAACACAACATGCTTGATGCCAAGCCCACAATCATTTACAACATGAAACAGATGCTATTGTTAAAAAAGTGCTCTGAGCTCTCTTTGGTAACTAGCTTGCTTGGTAAGAAAGCTACACTACACTAGCTGACACACATTCTGCTGCGCTCATATACAAACATCTCACACTCACACATTAAAACTCTTGGCAAAATCAAAACTGAAGCTATGAGCAATTACTGTTAATATTTGTAACAGAACTGCTAAGCAGAAAGAGCTTATCGAGAAATCTCAATCATTTAGTGACCAGACTAGTTTCAATTAATTATCAGAAGCAATTATTAAGCATTCCTCAAGAGCTGGTGTGAGGGAAGAACACCTTATTGGCCCATCCATGACTGTAAGTCTAACTGCTGTGATTTCCTAGGAGGAAGGCAACCTGTGTGACCAGGAGTCACTGTTGCCCAACGGGAACCAGTCCCATTGCTGGAACACTTGGCTGCAAAATAACCTTGGCCTATCAGTGCAATAATGACCTAACACCATTATTGAAAAACACTTAATCAACAATGACCTTGGATCACATCAGCATGATGACCTCTAAGAACACTTGGAACACATTGTTACTCAACAGTGATCTCAGAGAACTTTTGTGTAACAACATGCATAATCTGGTATAAAGTATACCTTTTGAATGTCAGTATAGTCAAAGAAGTATACCTTTCCAATCTTGTTACAATAAAGGCCAAGACATTGAAAAAGTATGTCACTAAATATATGTAGAATGCTATTCTCATATAAAAAGGTGTAATAAATTATGCTGCTAGACATTTATAAGAAATGGACTAGAGCTAATGAGATATACTGCCTAGGGCTGATCAATGCCTTATAGCAGTCCTGATCATACATAGATTAACAAATTTTACCAAAAAATCACTATCGCTTCAAACACCTGAAAAGCATATGCATGAAGGGCCAGTAGGGATACTCATTCGGGATAACATCTGACCACTTACTTCCAACACAGGTTAGGATACCTGGCTAAAAATGGCATTAACTTCAGAACATTTTTTTCCACTTCTAATATGAGGTTACTGTAGTAATCTTGAATATCAGGGGGATAATTTGATTTTGAAAACACCATTTATGGACCTTTGTTATATAATGATGCATGCAACATTAAATTTGAATAAACTCTAACACACACCTTGTGAAGTAATTTAAATTCAAGGAAAATATCCCATTTACTTATCAGGATTTTCTTGTATTAAAACACACACCTTGTGAAGTAATTTAAATGCAAGGAAAATATCCCATTTACTTTTCAGGATTTTCTTATATTATACTGTACTGAAATAATGAGATCATTCATTGTAACAATCTTATGAATATATATTTCTGTTGAAGATTACTGTGTTCTGGGATGTCACACTGCTTCTGTAGTCCGAGACTACACGGTACAACATCCCATCAGACAGTCATCTTAATCATTGCCATCGTGAGAACTTGAAATCTCACCTGCGTTAAATCGACAAATTTTATATTTACTTTTGTGGCCTCACACGGTGATTGCTTTAAGAATTAAATGTTTACCTAGCACTAAAACAGACTGTGAGGAAAAGCAAGTAATACAATATAGAAGAATTCTATACAGCTGAACTGTTTTCTACAACCTGTAAGTCAATTACAAACACACACCAACATTGTTAGTGTTACAGGAATACAACCAATCAACCTATTAAGAATCATCTTTGTTTTATGGAACAAGTGGAATGAACCAGTACATGTATTCAGAAAACATTTCTGTTCAACATTAAACAGTTCTTTTTCTCTATATATAAAGGTATGTATTGTATAGTCTGCAGAAAGCCACAAAAAGCAGAGTCAGAATTACTTCTGTCATCTAGACCACAAAAATGACTCACAAGCATGATTCTATTTCCCATCATTTTTACAGTGAAAACTGTAGGAGATAAGAATGAATCAGTTGATAAAGTAACACTTCTGATGCTGCAACTTGATAATTACTTCTTTAATAAGACACTGAACCTTTGTAGGAAACCACATGCGTGCATGCACACACAGACACACTATCAGATTGATGAGGAGGTTAGAAATATGATACACTACAAAAATGGCAGCAGGTATGGGAAGGGAAGAAGAAATGACATGCCTTCCCATTGCAAAACAACATAATCTAACAGTTGGCAGCCTGTACAAGCTGGTTGTTCTTCCTCCGGAATACCGAAGTAGCCTATACAAATTTTACAAGTATACATCTTTGGTTTACCTTCATTTTAAACATGAGGGCTGCGTTTCATATCAACACCGTTTAATTTCAACACATGAAGAAATATTTCTAGATTATATAATTTGATTCTGTTAATCATTAATCATGAAACATCATAGACTAAGATACTCCTTGATGTGGAGTATGCATGTAATGAACTGACCCATATCTTTCAACTATCCTAAAAAAATTATGTGAATAAATCTGTTGAAGGGTATAAGGTGCTTTAAAAAAATCTTCAACTATCCTAAAAAAATTATGTGAAAAAATCTGTTGAAAGGTATAAGGTGCTTTAAAAAAATTGTTTTTATGCCTCAAAAAAGTTGGTGAAATTATCATAATATAGGTTACTAAAAATACCAGCAATGCCTATGGAAATACATACAGTACATGTGTTTCCATAAACATTTTGCATGAAGTGCATATAATTAATGCCAAATGGGAGATCATGGCTATACATTTATCTACTGAAATATTCATTGGATTTTGATTACATTTTATTTTGGGAGACTACTATGTGCTACTGATTAGATATGTTAAAAAATCAACACAATATTTCCAAAGAAATGAATGTTAGTAATGCAACTTGTTTGGATTTGCATTTTCCTTTTTAGCTGTTATCCAATCGCATGAAAACAAAGTACAAATATACATATTAAAGAGTTAGAATCTTTGCTGTAGTTTTATACAGGAATACTAGAAATGTACAAAAATGTGGCTAGTCAGCATCTGATGTCCGTTGGTTAGAACAGAAATTCTGACAGGAAGAGAACCTCTCAATGAAATCATAATTCTGACCCAAAATTTATTATACCCTAAATTAGATTACATATTTTAAATGTGGTGGGAGCCTAACCAACGTTTGCACTGTGACAATTTCTTGACCTTTTGTGCATTCCTTCTCACTTAACCCACTTGTAGTCACATGCCTCCCAAAAAGTACCTACATACCAGAATTACAATGGCAATTCTTTTATTGGTGGCCATAATCATGGCCTCCCTGTAGGTGTGATAACCTCTTCAATTAGGGAACTGCCCAAAAACCTGGGCCTTTTAGGCTTGGGTAGTGCCATGTACCTGGTTACCATAAGCACCCAGTACTATATTACACTCAGGAACAAAATCAAATATTCTGTAGCTTCCAACTGTCTTAAACATGTTGAGCAAGAAAGCAATAATACAACATTATACAAATTATTATCTTGGATAATGAACAGTGTGTACTTGATATGCACAATTTGGGAACTGGTTCTCATACCTATTACGGATCTGGAGTAAAAGGTACATTTAGAACTTATGAGACATTCCTGATCAAGCTGTAAAAGGAAGACAAATATCAGACTATTCCTATGCAAAGCCAGAAAAAATAAACAGCCGACACAAGGAAATGTCCAACATAATAACTGTACAGTGAACTGGTCAGTCACAAACCTTTAGAAAATCAATAAATCAACAGACAACAAAACAACAATGAATGAGGAAGCATTAACAACACATCACAATCACAAAAATATTTCAAATAATTTTTTTGTTAATTTTAACATAATGGTAGATATTGCACTGAAATTCTGTATTCAGGTTAAAATTAGAGTCCTATATTAGGAATGTTTACAAACCACAAAAGTAACAGTTCTCTAAGAAAATACCATACCAAAATATATCATAATTCACAGACAAACTGTATTTATCCAAATACCACATTTTCCCAAATAAGATGTGCACCCAGATTTTGTGTATGTGTGTGTTTGTTGGGGAAGATCTTCCACCCTTTCATTTGTACAGAACTTTCTGGTCACAGTACAATTCCCCTTTTCATTAGCTTCACTGATGCAAACATTTTACGAAAAAGATGCAGTGCAGTATTTGGATAAATATGCAATTTGCTTAGCCAACACATCTGACAGTATTTCATATTTAACCATTCCTATGCAAGACAAGTATTTGAAATTGTATCCATATCTTTTTTAAAAAGAAAATTCCCAACTTAACATCGAAAAGAAGGGCAATCGTTCCTAAATGCAGAAGTGTAATGATTTTGAAAAGGATATATGATGAAACATGAAGATGTCATAACAGTAAATAAGGCATAAGAAAAAGAAATTAATGACTTCCCAGTTTTTGATGATGACAGAGTATTGTGGTGGGTTAGTCTGCCCATGTGTAGATATAATTTCTCCACACTGTTAACAAAGAGGTCCACAATATGGCATCAACACAAAAAAACATGAAGGTAAGGTTTATAGAAACAGTTATTTCCTATTTATAGTAATTTTCTGCAGCAAAGGTAAGTAACTATTGTCAACAGACAGCAGCTTCAAATCATAATATAAATGGCAGGTATAGAAATACTGAGACGTTAACCATTTTGGAAGACACATAAGACAGAATATAATAACAATTAATTACACTGCCCATGGCTGGCTAACTTACTGTAAATGTTAAATTTTTATTTTCTATTGGTATGATGAATATATGTTTAATCAAAAGAAAAGATTGGATAGATAAAATTGATATTTTGACTATTCTGAAATTCTTCCCCAAATTGGAAACCACTCAGACTTCATATGCATGGTCTTGTACCGTATTACTCGAAATCTGTTCACCTATCTTAAAAATCAAGCATTTGCCCATCACGATTAGAGACTTTTATTTACATACACATTGGCAAGAGGAAGATGCGTATACCCCTTTTATGAACTACATGATGTATTACTCTTTGAGGACTGATAAAACTGCACTAAATTTGTTGAAGTGTGATTTCTGCCCCTTCCATCTTGTACTTATCTCAGCTTCTAGATTTCTAATCAATGCCTGAGACTGAGTAGCAATATTATTAGATTTACATTTTTAAAAAATATATTCAACACTCAATTTTGGGGAATGTACAAATTTGTCCTGTACACATTCCTCTGCTTGTGTGTGGCCATTTCACATCTCACAAAAACAAACACAAGACACATACCACGTCAGAAACAGAAACTGATGCGTTATTTTATATTTATTCTGTATACCTAAATATTCAGCCATCTCTTAATTATCTTTCTTACAAACAGTTCATATTCATATCATTCCAGCACAGAACTAATATCTTAAACTCCTTGACAAATCTGTCCAGAAAACGTGTATTTTCTCCAATACTGCTGAACTGTTAAATGTTCTTTGTCTGAAGTTAATTAGAAATGATTAATTGTACATATATACAATAAAACGCAAATTATGCCTGAGCAGATTATTCATGGCATGGATTCTGTATGTTGAAGAAATAAATAATATAATGAAATCTATTAAATAGTAACAGATCGCAAAGTACAGTATTAATACCTGTTATGAGATTCTAATACATCCCAACAGTGCATGTGTTAATTTGATTTGAAAGTGTGGGGGAGGGGGATTCTGGATCAAACACTTGAACCTACATGCCACATCTTAGAAGTGGTTGGGTGTATTTCCATGTGCTAGTTCATAATTTCTTTTCAACCAGCCCATGAATATTTAGATAACATGTTCTGTCAGAATTAGTATTATACTTTTGCGTAATCTGCATATTTAAATAACGCAATGAACTGTCCCAAATAATCCATAAAAAATAAGCAAGCAAATTACACATGCATAACACAAGAAATTAAGTTTACTGTTTATACCATCCTCACACACAAAATATACACAAAGTAATATAAATCATCCCGTTTAGGAACATTTAAACCAAATACTGCTAGAGTATAATTTTAACTACAAATTTTGCCATGATCTAAGCAATGAATCACATTGAATAGTTGGATGAACAGGGTTAGATATCAAGGATTGTTTAAACCTGAATGACAACATAAAACTGAAAATGGTCACCAAATATGGGATTCATATCATATACATGCGGAACATGTTGATACAGGAATACACCAAACTTACACCATGCACACACACTTTACAAAACATGGTATTAAAGAAATGATTTCTTTACTGCCTACAACACACATGTATTGCTTCAAGTTCTTAAAAAAAACAAGCAAAAATATTTACATGCCTCAAAATATATGACCGTAAATAGGAAGAAATGTTCACTCTGCATGGAACAGCAAAATTCAGAAGCTGCATCTGGCACATCAGAACTAAACTAGGTCTACAGTAAACATTATTACAAGTGCATTTTTGTACTATGCAGTCACAGAATGTATTAACAAAAAAACAACACAAATCTTAGTTTCAGCAGATTTGCTCAGACGTATACAGGGGTGGCTAACATTCCTGATTTGGGTAATCAACATGATCAAGATACTTATGATACAAACTGCATGCATTTAGCATTTTGATACCAGTTACATAATTTCTACATATTAACTTTACAAAGGGATGGTTTTCTAACCATTACTATCTGACTGAAATAGACGTTTATAAAGACATAGAAACAGGACCTAGCATGAAAAATAAAACTTCATACCAGTATATAAAGAATAGAACATGATGCAGCATTTACTTTCAGAAAGTCAATGTATCAGTCTTATTACTTTTAGTATGTTTCTACATATTCACCCTATTTTCTATCAGACAAATATGCTCAGTGGCAAGGGTATTATGTGAACTTTTACACCCATTTGCTAAAACTGCATTTTAAAGAGTAGAGAGACATGTGACTTGAAAGCATTCTTTGACCACCCCTGCTCGGCATAACACTGGTGGGATGGAACAGCGGAAGCTTTTTCGAATGATGCCGAACTCAACTAAAAAGGAGAATTTATTCTTTCATGTTATAACAAGACTAAAAGTTTTAAGAAGCAAATAAGTAAGGTACGAAATTTAGTAAATTTCACTCAGGTTTGGATAATGCCACCTCCCTCTAGCATGAATACAAAATAACCCTTAAACATTCTGAAACAGATGATAGAAACAATAGCAATTTCATAATTTTTCATTCAGTAATAAGTTATTTTCTCAGTAATACATAAAACTATTTGTGCATATAATACATTTCAATGAGGTTTATTTTCCTTCAAAATAATTATTCACAGACCTTGGACTGGGAGATGTCAAGAAGTTCATTACTATATCTATAGAAGCACAAAATTAAACAAGATATGACAATCTGCAAGGTTAGAAAACTTTGCATAATTTCCATTTGCAACTTGCGGTATCCTTCTTCTTCCACTCAATCTAGCAAATTACTTTCAGAATACATCTCGACACAGCTGTCATTGTTTGAACTCCTATACTTTCAAACACAAGGCACCCCCAAAAATCTAGCTTCATCTTTATACAAATTGTATTAATTTTAATATGGTTTCATATGCACCGTTTTCACTCAAACAAAAGAGACTGTTGTTTTACAACAAAACTTAACCTGGATGGATCATACATCAAGTTCACCTCAGAAGTGATTTCCTGCAGCTACAAGAAAAATTTACAATACATAAAAGGTGCAAACCAAAATATCTAACAAACTGTTTCAGCCTACATACACATGTGAAAAATAACAAACAAAACAGACAGTCGTGTAAAACAAAACAAGCATATCACCAGGGAGATTAAAAAAGTAATATAGGAATATTACCTTGCATTCTGACAGCACCAAGAGTGTCAAATCTTATTGCTCTCTGTAACATTGGTCCTTCATTTTGTATGATCTGAGGTAAAACATCATTTTGTTCACAGCTTAGAGCTAGCAGCACAATGACTTGTGTAATGCACACACACACACACATATATGTAACATTATCAAAACAAAACAACCGGGAGTTAACAACGATTTGTCTTCACGTAAATTATTTCAACTTCAAGCTGACGGAACTTCTTTTCAAAACCCTGCAGTATTCTTCTAATCCAAATGACTGAGGTATTCAGATGCATCACCACGACAAATTGGACATGTTCTATTGGACTGTAAATACAATACAAAACAAGCAAACAGAATTTAAGAAGACAACAATAAATCATCGTGCAATCTAATGGCGGAATAAAATTAGTAGATCAACGCTACGTATTCTCTTGGTTGGCAATCTGTCACCTCCTTAGCTTTTGCTTCTTTCAAATCAAACAAGAAAAATTTGATTTTGATATCTTAATGCAAGTAAGAATAACTAAAGCCTATTACTGTTACAAAAATGTGTGGGACTTTATTTTACTTTCTTTACTTGTAGCTACGAGCTAACACAAGTATAACACTAATACAAAGTAAGTATATTATAGTTTTGCATACTTTAATGTTTGAGATTTTAAATATGAAACCAATGACAAATTCAAATCAAAAAAGTGACATATATGCTGCTAGGTATTAATGCAATAGTACAGCTTAAACCCACCTTGAGCCATTTATCGACACACTTTGCGTGAAACTCGTGTGAGCAAGGAAGAACTCTGAGCATCTGGCGCGATTCAAAATCACACATGCAGACCACACAGGACGTCTGGTCTCCGTGACGAGAATCTGGATTGAATCTGAACAAAGCATGTTATCAGATATTATTTCAAAAAGGAAAAAACTTCGATAATTTTAATCAATTTATGCATTAATGACCGAATACAATTTCAGGGATTTTAGCAATTGAAAAATACCCCATTTTTCCAAAGTTTCCACAAATCTTTTCTCACTGCCTTTGAACTTCTCGGTGTCACTGTAGTCCCTTTTCAGAATAAAGTAACTTTTATGACTATTTTGTTTATGCTTTCAAAAGTTATATAGTCCGAGCTACTGAGAGTATCATAAAAAAACCACAAACAACAATACGCATGCCTCTGATTATCAAACCAACTGTGAGATCATCACTTACTTGTATGACAGAAGCTGTTCAATTTCCACCTTAGCCAAACCCCTT